ATATATAGGATTTGACGGGAGGAAAACTTACAAAAATGAGAAAGGCAGTGCGAGAAAGCTAGACAACGAAGTAAGTAGGAAAGAAAGACTCAGAAAGATCAGAGAGGGAGAGGGGGGAGAAAGAAGAGAGCGGGAGACACAGAGAATGAGAGGAGAGAGAAGAAAAAAGAGAAGAGAGAAGGAGACAAAAGGAAACAAAGAGGGAGATAGAGGGGCACAGAGAGAGACAGACAGAGAGAGAGAGGGGGGGGGAGAGAGAGAGAGAGAGAGAGAGAGAGAGAGAAATAAAAGAAAGAAAGACACAGAAAAAACAGAGAGACAGACAGGTGGATGGGTGGGTGGAGCGAAAGAGAACATAGAGATGAGGGAACTTTACTCGTGTCTGTGGCGGACGACATCGGTTCTTTGGAAGGCTTCTGGCAATAAATCGGAGCAGCCACTGCCGATAAAGAAGGCGATAATGAGAGCGTCGGTCTGCCCGCCACGACAGAGATGATGATACGAGGGACCCTAGGAGGGACCCGGAGATGTACCTTATGACGGGACGGGTTGCCACACGATGATGGATAGCTTCGTGGGCGCTGCTCTTCCGCCAACACGGATAGCTGGAACAAGAGCCGGTGTTTCTGAGCTGGGAGATCTATTTATCGCTTTAACCTTTTCACTGCCAAGCGTTTTATACGTCCTATCTTCCAGCAAGGGACAGTTTTTGATAAGGTTTTGGCGGGGTTAGATTTTGTATTCTCAAGAACCCGGTGTCTGTAGGGTAATGGTGGTGCTTTTCTTTGCCTCGCATGCGAAAGACGTAAGTTCGATTACCTTACGAGAAAGATCATTTCTCTTCCGTAAACTTCGTACTAAAACTAAAACTTATCTCAAACCTTTGTCATAATGATATACCGGGATTTTTTCGTACTTTACTTTACTTTTAAAACCATGAGAGTAAAAGAAATCAAATGAAGTAGTGCTTGATGAAGCCCACGTGAGACCCTCATTGTTAAAAACCATCATGAAACAACAAAATGCAGTTTTTGGGACTCCTGAATAGACATAAAGGTCTAGAACATCTAGCTCTTACTGACAAAAATGAAGGCAGACGAGGCAGGGGTAGGCCCAGAGCAACCTACTTAAAGAACCTAAACAAATGGGTAACGGGGAAATATCAGGGAAACGTAGTTTTTTAAAGATCATACGAAAGGAATAAATGAAGAACCATGATCGCCGATGTCTGTCGCAGATCTGGCACTTGATGATGATGATGATGGTGATGGTGATGATGACTTTACTTTTCCGATCCACTGGCCACCTGGGTTCTAGCCCTTCAGTCTCCGTACAAAAAGGGTAACATTAAAAATTTGAATCACAAAAGACTTCAGTCAAACAGTGTGTCTTCCATTTATTAGTTTTTTATAACTGAAATTATAACAAAAAAGACATTAAAGATTGTAATTCTCTGGTCCACTCACTTTGTCTGTTTCTGTGTGTCCAGGTGGAGGCCCTGGTCCGCCCCCAGCCCGGTGAGGTGCCCCGCCTGCTCCCTGTGGTGGACCGTCTACAGTTCAACACCTCCGAGGTCAACCTGGCCATCTACCAGGGGCCGCAACCCCTCACGCTCGGCACAGGTGGGAAACTTTGTGCTTGTGCCTATTTTTTTTTTTATTGTTTCTTTGTTTTTGGCATTTTTTGTTGTTGGTGTTGGTGGTGGTGGTGGTGGTGGCGGCGTTGTTGTTGTTGTTGTTGTTGTTGTTGTTGTTGTTGTTTGTTTGTTTGTTTGTTTGTTTGTTTGTTTGTTTGTTTTTTGCAGGGGCGGGGGGGGGTTCTATTTCACTGTTTCTCTGGATTTCTCTTTGTATGTTTCTTTGCATTTCTCGCGTTCTCTCTTTCTTGTACTCTGTCCCTTTCCACTTTCTCTCCCCCCCCCCCCTTCTCTCTCTCTCTCTCTCTCTCTCTCTCTCTCTCTCTCTCTCTCTCTCTCTCTCTCTCTTTCACTCTCTCTCTTTCCCTCTCTCTCTCGCTCTCTCATACTCTCTCTCTCAGCTCTCTCTCTCTTTCTTTTCTTCTTCTCTCCCTCTCTCTCTTCCTCTTTCCCTCTCTCTTTCTCTCTCTCTCTCTCTCTCACTCGCTCTCTCTCTCTCTTCCTCTGTGTGTATCTCTCTCTGTCTCTCTGTCTCTTTCTCACGTTCTCTCCTGAATATATTTTTTTACACTTCAAGTAAACTTTAATATCTGTTTCTATCCTCAGATCACGAGATGGGTCGGGTGAACAGTATCATCATCGGAGTCACTATCGTCATCGTCCTTCTCTTCCTCTCCATTCTCCTCGGCCTACTGTACAAAAAGAGAAAGAGCTTCAAAGACATCATCGTTACCAAGGCGACAGTTGCCAAGAGCAACAGCTACAAATCTAACGTTGGAGGTGAGCAATTCGAAGCATGTTGTAGGAAAGGGCGTGCATATAAACACAATCCTGTGGGCATACTGACCCACAGACAAGCACATGTCATATCATTCTTTCTCTCTCTCTCTCTCTCTCTCTCTCTCTCTCTCTCTCTCTCTCTCTCTCTCTCTCTCTTTCTCTCTCTCTTTCTCTCTCGCTCTCTCTTTCGCTCTCTCTCTCTGTCGCTCTCTCTCTCTGTCGCTCTCTCTCACTCTCTCTCTATCTCTCTCTCTCTCTCTCTCTCTCTCTCTCTCTCTCTCTCTCTCTCTCTCTTTCTTTCTCTCTCTCTCCCTCAACAGATTTTCTTAATGTCACGACCCCCCCTTAAAAAATCAGGACTTAAAAAATTACAAAACCACCAAAACGTTATAATACGACCAATGACAGTCTTAGGGGAAAATGTCTAGAATTGTAGATTATAATAAACTATAAGTCGATTTTTAAAGAAATTCAAGAATTCAAGTCTTTTGCAAAATGTAAGAAAAGAGCGCTACTATTTTGGAACAAATGACACGACTGAGCAACTTGAATCGCAAATTGAAAGCGTCCTCAGAAAATTAAAATAGACAAAACTCAAGAAAAAAAGAGCCCACATCCTCCCCCCCCCCCCCCCCCCTCCAAAAAGAAAAATTATTTTAAATTTAAAAAACGGGTGTTCAGCACCTTTAACGTCTGAAGGGCTGTCAACCAAAAGTCGTGCGAAGACGCAGAACTTGAACTTGGCTCTCGGTCGGTTAGAAAAAGGCTCGCAAAAACCTCCACTTTAAACTCTCTCATCAACTCTTAACTTTTGTTCAACCTTCCTCAGGCAAATCTGACTACTCGAATCAGCTGATCGTGTTCTCTGATGAGTGGGAGCTGGACCCACACAGCCTCAAGTTCAGCACACTGCTGGGCCAGGGAGCGTTTGGCAAAGTGGTCACTGGATACTATGAGGACCAGAAAGTGGCTATCAAGATTGTCAGAGGTCAGTTATATTGTTTTGTTCGTGTTCGTCTTTTCTGTTGTTTGTTTGATTTCTGTATTTGTTTGTTTCTTTGTTTCTTTATTTGTTTTCATTTTCTGTTGCAAGTCTGTCTGTCTATCTGTCTGTCTATCTGTCTGCCTTTCTTTCTCTTACTTTATCTCTCCTTTTTCTCCCTCTTCTTCCATTGTAGTTAAAACATACGATTCTTATATTTGTTTATCTATCTATTTCTTTCACTTTCTATCTTCCTCTTTTTCTATATCATTTTTACTTATGTCGATCCATGAATCAATCGATCGATCAATCATCAGTCTATCAATCAATCAATCGATCAACCATCAGTCTATGTTATATCTTGCTGTCTTTTTATCTGTCTACAACATGTCTTATCGTCTCTCATTGTTCTGCATGTTATAGTTCTCCCAAATTGTCTGCATTATAATAGTAGTTTGTGTGAACACGGTAGAGCGATATTATAAACTGCATCTGCTTTTGGAGAAAAAGGGCCGAAAACTGTAGTAATGCACTGGCCAAGCTAACCATAACTTAAACAGTTAACATAATCTGTGTAAACAATGGCGACCACAATCAAACCATTTCAAGAAAAACCCACCACACACGTGTACTTTTCAAAGAGATTTCTTCTCAAAAATAAAAAGAAGCGTCTGTGGGAGGTCTGTCTTTTGATCAGCTGATTTGGGTCGGAGCCCATTAAGGTGAAATAATCGGCTTTGAAGTTTGAAGTTTATTGTTATTGCGGAGGAGGCTCGGGCATGCCAATGATATATTGACGTAGAAAAAGCGACAGGGCTGGAAGAAAATGTCCAAGTACCCTTTATAAACCCGTCAACGCTGGCGGCATTGAGAGCAGACTCAAGATACGCGGAGCTGAGTTCTGTACCTCAAGCATAATTAATCGAACGGATAATAGAACGAGGTGGGTGGCTGGAGGATGCCGCTGGGATATTTTACTTCTTTACTTTCCCACTGTTGTTTTTGACTGTCTTTCCTACTTTTCCCAGCACCGAATACAATAACTACTATGTTTATCTACTTACCTTTACTCAAAATCGTTAACTACACGGTGCGCGCTCATATGACCTTAGCAGTTGCGAGCGCCGTAAAACCTTATACTACTACTACTAACTACACGGTTGAGCCTGTGGTTGGTGGTGCCACTGGTAGGTTCTACTTCTTTACTTTCCGTCTGTTGTTTCGGTTAATCTGTCTTACTTTTTCTAATCACTAAATGACCAGTATTGTGTCGACATGCTTCTCTTTACTAAAAACAAAACAAAAATATTAGAAAGAGTCATCTCACCCTAGACCAATTTTACGAAGTGCGGAAACTTTTTTTGTATGTGTTTTCAAAATATGTCCAGGAACTAGGCATCCATTTGGCACGGGATTTTTTCGGCTGCTTCATCGGCCTCATTAGCAACATAAGAAAAGTCGAATGTTTTCCTGGGGGGGGGGGGGGGGGGTCGGGAAAAAGGAGGGGGTGCCGGGAAGGGGGGGGGAGAAGATACAGCTTTCCTCAACTAACTGGTCCATTGCAAACATTGATCCATACACATTTTATCGGTCTTTCAAAGAGAATTTCTTTACGTTCCATGGCTGAAATAAAAAGCATTCGAGTGTAAAATTAACTCAAATCATTACAGTTTTGCTCGTCAATCTGTCGGACTGATTGTCAGTCTGTCAGTCTTTCAATCTATCATATTATCCTGTTGCTAGCAAACAACTGCTTTGATGGGGGATTCTTTCTTGATCTATCTATCTATCTATCTATCTATCTATCTATCTATCTATCTATCTATCTATCTGTCTATCTGTCTGTCTATCTGTCTTCATGCTGGTATATTTACTGACATTTCAAAGGTTATTTTGCCAGTCTCTATCTCTGTTACTTTATTTACGTTTCTTAAAATTGCTGGTTAGGGCCTCAACACACATGTAGGTACTGTTCAGTGAGAAGCCAATTTTTTTTTAACCGACGCATACACGTACATTTATATGCAGCTAACCATTAAATGCACAAAGGAGCACGCACACACACGCACACACATACACTGACACACACGCACACACGCACACACACGCACGCACGCACGCACGCACGCACGCTACAAACACTATCCTTTCCAAACCGCTGTGCCTCCCCGCCCCCCCTTCTCTCTGTCTCTTTCTCTCTGTCTCTCTGTCTCTCTGTCTCTCTGTCTCTCTGTCTCTCTGTCTCTCTCTCTCTCTCTCTCTCTCTCTCTCTCTCTCTCTCTCTCTCTCTCTCTCTCTCTCTAACTCACTTATCCTCTCAGCCCGTCAGGGGTTACAAGACGTTGACATAAACGCCTCGAGTCCTACACTAGTCCACCCACCAAAGAAAAAAAATTAACTTTATGGGCATCTTTATATAGATGTGAAAGACACAATTAACTACCCGTGGGCGAGCTCTTGGTTAGAAATGGGAAAAATAATCTCGAGGCAGGTCCTCTGTAAGTCATCACAGGGTGAAGGGCATCTTCAGCTGCGCAGCATTATGGTTTATTGTGTGCTTGGCAGTGTTCGTTTGCGAAGCGGCTTCTTGTCTGGCCAAACTGTTTGCTCTAGAGCAGTAAGGTAGACGCAATGTGAAGTAACAGCTGAGAAAACGGAGAGGTTTTTGTTTTTGTTGTTTTTGTTTTGTTTTTAGGTTGCTTTTATTTTTTTCCCTCGAGCTCTACTCAGTCGCTTCTCTGCCGAGAGTTTTTTTTTCTCCAATTTTTGTGAACGTCTGTCGCTCGTTTTAGGTTTTTTCCCCTCTCTGGAGAAATGTCAAGAATCCCCTTAGAGATCTGTCAGGACACAGCTGAAAGTCCTCTGAAAGTTACAGGATTGTTCCGAATTGCTCTACATTTATTTGTCTTCTGGGTTAATGTTGATGCGATTGCATAAATAAATTGTAGCTGGTAGGATAAAGCTGCAAAAAATAGCTCTAAATTGACGGCAACATTATTGTACGCTAGGATTTTTGTATGAGCTTAGGTGATTATGCTCAAAATCATTATGTAGAAGGTTGCGTGTCTTGACAAGAGTTGGGCGTGAGTATTCAACGCTGAGCATGACATAAACAGGTCGTTTTGAACGTCCCTCTCCACCCCTTCCTGAGTGTGATTGTGGCGTCAGTTTGGTGTGGCCGGACATCAGTTGATGGGGACAGTGGGTGGTTGGCGGGTGCTCTGTTGTGGTTTGCTTTTTCTTTCCTATCAAACATCTATCATCTTTATAACTCCTTCTTTTTAGGGTTTGTTACTCTCTTGTAACGTCTCTAATCTTCGACACTTAAATGACCTTATAGTTTTGCAAATGCCTTAAAACGCTCACAAGGAAACAGACTGGGACAGAAGGAATGAGAACGGATAATATATTTTATTGTTAAAGGTAAAACTTGTTTGAGTCTGTCAGAGAGCTAAGCATCGGTGTCCATGGTGTAGCGGTTAGGCGCTTTGCTGTCGCTCGCGGTTGACTCGAGTTCGATTCCCGAATGGTAAGAAATTTTTATTGAGTATCTCGCTCATGTTGATGGTGATGTGTCCCTCTCATCAGGCTTGGCCCTGACTGGCAGAGTCAGAAGCCCGCCTCCTTAATTATCTAAATTGCATCAATGTGAGTATAAAAAATCAACATTAAAAAAAAAAGAGTTTGGCTGTACATCTGGGTGCAACTATGGCGTGGCCTCCCGTCTCAGCTGCATTGTCTGGGTCCCTCTTCATGAAGATCATCACGTATTAGCTCGTCAGAAGAGACTACGGGAACCACCTGGTTCGTCTGAGGAGAAGAAAAAATCAGCCTGTTGCTTCTCAACCGATAACACTGTGGTGAGCTTTTCCTTAGAAAAGGGCGATCGCTATCCGCGCGTTGCCAAACAGGGTTCTCCCTCTTCTTGCTGCTTGGTGTGTGTGGATATGATTCAAATCTTCCAATTAGGTACGCGAGAGGATGCACTTTTAAGGGATTTTTCATGAGTAGTCACCCTGTTCCACTCTTTTTGGAGACGCAGATTAAAATAAGAGAAGAGAAGTACTTTATTGATCTTCCACCCACACCGGCGTCTGTGGTGTAGCAGTTGGACGCTTTGCTATCGCACGCAGAAGACCCAAGTTCGATTTCTGAGTGAGTGTGAATTTTTATCGAGTATCTCAGTCTTTCTGCTGTGATGTCCTATCTCTCTCAGCCCGGGTTGACCCTTACAGGCAGGGTCGAAAGTCTCCTCCCAATTATCCAAATAAGGGGTCCGTAAAACATCTACATTTAGGGTTAGAAATTAAGACTACTGTGAAGATACTTTCTCGCTCAAACCGAAAGTAATAACAGTTTTTTTGTGATTTCAAAATCAATCCCTACAAAACTGAAAAGGCTTGAAGTGTCCCACTAGCTCATATGACCTTATGCAGTCGTGAGAGCCGTAAAACACGTACCTAAAAAAAAAAACGATCTCGAAATGAATGTCTGCCATGACAGAAACGAAGCTGCACAGGTTGCCCAGGTCGGCAACTCTTGCGTACTTGCTCCGTAAGTGATCACACGTGTTCCGGCATGTAACGACGCGAGTCCTCACCTCTCGCGCGCTATAGCGATCACAGAGACGGGTATTTAGGTGAGGCACAAGCAACAGGGGGAGTGGTGGCGAGGGGGCGTGGACGGGGGCAGAGAGAAATGGCAACAGGTCACGAATCACACTTCATTACTTACAATGTAGGAGGGTTGCGGTAACAAGACTGTCAGTGATTTCTCTGAGTCCTTTTTTCGTGAAATTTGGGAGGGGGACAACTAATGTGGATATGAGGTGATATACGGGAAAACTGTTACATAGTATTGATGTGAAAAAAGGAGATTATCAGGAGAAGGGAGAACTCGCGAGAATAGTTCTTGACTGTCAAATTTGGAATGTTTTACAACTTGAGAGAGGTGTAAACAGCTGGCTAAATTGCAAAAATCGTTGTTGTTTAGCTGATTGAATAGAA